TCACATTTAGAATACTGCAATGATATAATGTATTAGCTTATTTCTGTCTTCAGTTTCTACCCATTTCCTCTTACTCTCCTGAGAAATGTCTCCTACCACTGCAGCCTGAATAAATTTATTTTCTTCCTATGGAATTTTTAACCTAAACCTTTCATTTGGCAAACAATCCAGTATGACAATATAGTATATCAGATTTTTCAGAGTCCAAGTTTATGTGTACACAAGCACTATATTTTACCTTCACCATCTCAAGCCAAAAAGAAGAAAATGCCAGCTCACACTTTCCAAGGTCATTTTTTTGTGTTTCAGACGTTCCATTGAAGAGGAAAATTAGAAAGTTCAAAGACTTGAAGAGGAGAGAAGGTTGGAAAGTGTTTAAAACTGGAAATCCCCCATTTACTCATGGTTACCTTCATTGACCCTTTACGATAAACAATTCAAAAACACACAGGCACCTGCAGGTTAAAAATAAGTTTTACCAATTTGCGTAATTTGTATTAATTTGAAAGAGGATGATGTATTCTAAATTGAAGTTTTGATTCACAACAAGATTAAAGCCATTCAGAAACCTAATTCACCCATTGAAAGGAAAGAAAAAAAAAACCAAAAAGATGAGCAGGTTGTCTCCGGAAATTGTCTAAGGTCGGAAGTCTGTGGTCCCTTTTCACATGTACCCAAAAGCATCCTGCTGGTGCAGCTGTCTGATAAGCACAGTGTACCCCACCTTCTCTGCACACTTTGCATCTAGCTCATATTACCTCATCTTTATTTCCTGTCTGACGTCTCACCCCGGCTTCTACATGTAAGGTCACACCGGAAGGAAAGCTGCATTGAGTGCTGGTGCTCTGAATGACTTTTGCCAACTTTGTCCCCACACTAATTTCTGTAAGCCTCAGTTTTCTCAGCTACACTATGAAATGTGAATGATAATCTCTGCCCTAAAAAATATCACCTACTTTTTTAACATATCATTTATGAAAGACGACACATAAAATGTCTCCCTAAAAATGGAAAGTTACGTATTATTGCCATCTGTTTTATAAAGAAGTTGAAAAGGGTTTGTTTGCACAAGATTTGTTTCATGTGTTTCTTTCTTTCTTTCTTTTTTTTTAAAGAACTAAACCCATCAGGGCTAACCACAAGAACTTTGCTTCCGTGTTTTGATAAATAAGGGGTACTGAAGAACCCCTCTGACCCCCAAATCTCTCCCACACTGCATCTTGACCCTCTACACTTTGCTTTGTTTTTCTCTGGAATTTCACATGTAGAGATACGTTCCTTTGGCTTAACAAGTATTGATTACTACCATGGGCATATAGTTTATTGCACCTAAGAGGACATTCTCACAAGTGAAATAGCATACTCTTCATAATTACTGAAATAGCATGGTGTCAATAATTACATGTTAAAAATTAACAACAGGTGTCAGCTAGGACAATGCCAAGCAACCACTATTCACTGTGAGTTTAAATTGATTGTTTTCTCAAATTAAAAGAGATTTCTTATACTTAAGAAAAATAGAAAGAATTGTGGGAGGGAGGGAAGATAAATGAAGAAAAAGTTAATTTTTCAACAAATTCAGGCTCTTGCAGAAGACCTTGATCAGCATGGGGCCCAGTGGATATCCAGGAGGCCACTGACAACTATATGCTTGGTACATTGGCTACTTTTTTCTTGCAGTGGCTGCCTCCTCCCATGCACCCAAGTACTGATTTCAACAAAATAATTGGGCTGTCCCCATTAAAAAAAAAGCAGAGAAGGGCTGGGAGCGGTGGCTCATGCCTGTAATCCCAGCACTTTGGGAGGCGGAGGCAAGAGGATCATCTGAAGTCAGGAGTTCGAGACCAGCCTGGCCAACATGGTGAAACCCTGTCTCTACTAAAAAAAAATACAAAAATTAGCCAGGCATAGTGGTGGACACCTGTAATCCCAGATCCTCAGGAGATTGAGGCAGGAGAATTGCTTGAACCCGGGAGGCAGAGGTCGCAGTGAGCAGAGATCACACCACTGCATTCCAGCCTGGGTAACAAGAGTAAAACTCCACCTAAAAAAAAAAAAAGCAGAGAAAAATGACTGCAAAATAAAGTTAATAGATTTTGATCAACGTCATAATGTTTAAAAATATTTTCTCAAAATAAGATTTCTAGGTATCGTTTTTCTGTGGCTTAGGGCATATATGCAAAATATATATTATATGTAACATATATATAAAAAGGTGTGCATGTATATATGTGTGTGTGTGTATGTGTGTGTGTTTGTGTGTGTACATGCATCCATTAACTTGATTATGGTTGAAGAAGCAAGAAACCTTGAGCCCATGAGTCTTAGTACCATGAAACCTGTTAGAGGTGGTTGTAGGAGACTGCAATTTCCTCTGTCTCTTTCTCAGACAGAGAAGAGACACATTACATCAGCAGTTATGCCGTGACTTCTCAGTTACTATCTCTGAATGCCTTACATCGAATGAGGAGCTTTCTCTTTTCATGACGTGTACCAAACTGTCACTCCCTTACATATCATTGAATGCATAATGTGTACCAAATACTATGTTTAAAAAATTTAGAATTCATAATTTTTCTTCATAGAAACCTTATAAATTGGATATTATATTTTTAGTTTACAGGTACCAAAGCCAAAACTCAGTGGACTTGTATGGTAAATTTCCCGAGGCACTACTGGCTTACTGCACAGACCTTCATTCTTTTCCTTAAAGAAGCTAAACTTCTTTTTGTTTTATAGAGTGTGTTCTAGCTCTTGTTCTTTCTGTTTTCAAATTTTCAATGGTTAAATCCTTCCTCTCATTTTTATTTAATTCCACATATGACCTCAACAAGACCATGCCTGACAACCTATATAAATGACCTCACATCTGTCCCTATGTATTACCTTGTTCTTTGCATGTAGCAGTCTAAGGTCATACACTTCTCAACCAAACAATCCTAAAAATCCCGAATAAATAGTACTCCATATTTTAGAACTTTTAGAGTTTATACATATTTTTCATTTATTCACTCATTCAGTAAGGGCATGGAATACATACTAGATTCCAGTTACTACGGCAGGCGTTAGAGGCACAGAGGAGACAAGTCAAAGCCCTTGCCCTCAAGCAGGTTACAGTCTAGTAAGGGAAACAGATAATAAACCATGATACAGTATCAGATATTTACAGTGATCTGTAGAGGCAGAGTGTGAGGTTCTATTTTACATATAATAGCAACTGACAATTTCTCTGAGCAGGTGGCAGCTGAAGAGTGAGTCTGTTAAAGGCAGAGCGAGACATGCAGGGAGATGGAAAAAGAATCTTTTAGAGAAAATGTAAAAGCCTTGTAGTGGTAGGATGCTTGGCATTTTTAAGGAGGAGGTTTCTGTCAGAGAGGATACTGAATAACAGGAAAAATGGTAGGAGAGGTAACCAGGGGCCATATTATGTATAAAGCATTCTCAACTATTAGGTCTTTGGATTTTACGGTACGTTTGATAGGAAGCCTTTCAAAGTGCAGTGGGGGGAGGAGTTAAATGCTTCACCAAAATGATATGACTTAATTATAAAGCAATGGTTCTAGCTGCTATGTGGAAAAGGGACTAAGAAATTGACTAGAAAATAGAATGGAAGCAAAGGGAGCCTTTAGGGTCAACGTGTACCTCTTTGTGTCTTAGGTAGACAAATGCATCTAATGGTCCACCTAACTTCTCTAGATGATAACTTCCAACCCACCTATACATAACATTTCAGCAAGGCTTTACTCTGAAAGCAGAATGTCTTTATTCTAAATCAGTGATATTAATAATAAAATTTTGGGCACCAAGATTGTTAATCAGAGTGATATTTTGATTTCCCTCCTTAAATACCCACACATAGCTTTTTGCATTCATCTTGTGTTGACCGTCATTACTTCTCTGAAATGATACCACAGCAATGTTTTAAATAATAATCATACTTCAAATGACTGAAGTCTCAGAGGTATCTGAAGAGACTAACCTAGAGCACAGGGGGAGAATTGAAGAAGATGTTTCTGAGGTGACATAAAAGCAGTCTAAATGACAGTAAAATGTGACAAGAAAATTAGCAGGAAATAAATGAAACAGATAATTTAAGATAAACAATTTTAGAGCCTAGCAAGGAAGTTCCAGACCACAAGCTTTCTGTTTCCTGCATTAAAACAACTTCTTACTACATGATACATCTAGTCACCAGAGAAGAAGTGAATGACACACTTCCAAAAACCAATTAGTAGCTTTCTAAATAAAACTCTTCCAGGCTGGAGAGAGATCCATGAGCACAGAGATCTTAACATTCATATTCAACAACAAATTCTGGGGCCCCAGACAGTGTCAGGTGCATAGTTCAGTAAATATCAGTTAAATGTATGAATAAATAGATGAACGGGATTCCTGGAAAATACTACACTCTCCTTCTCCAAATTATTTTTATCTCAAAGACAGGAATCTCTAACTTTTAATTCTTTACTTAGATTATGCTATCTTCTAAATTATTCGTGTTTTCTAGAAATTTAAGGCAGGATGTCTCAGAGTCTGGGAAAATCCCACTTTCCTCCTGCTACACCTTACAGTTGTGAGAAAGCGCATTTCAGACAACAGGGAAAACCCATACTTCACCACAACAACACACTATACATTGTCTGGTCCACTGAAGCATAAATTAAAGAGAAACAATGTAGTCAAGCAAGTAGGCGGTAAGAGGAAGGGGGCGGAGATTTCATCAGGGAGTATAAACTCCCTCAGATGCCTCAGAGCCTCAGAGACTGAACAAGAGCTCCAGCAAAGACTTTCACTGTAGATCATCTTGACCTCAGATTAACTAGGGAATCTTGAGAATAAAGATGAGCTCTGATCATTGTTACGTAACAGAGAACAGCTCTTTGCATCCGGAGAGTGGACAAGAAAGTAAGTCAGATCTGATTGCATATTTACTGTCTAGTATCTCTGTATGACATATAATAGTAGTTATAGAAGATATACTCTTCTCTATATATGATATGTATATGATATATAATCTCTACATATGATATATAATCTCTATATATGATATATAATCGTAGAGAAAAATATACTGCTAATCTCTATGTATGTGATATCTAATGGTTATTAGGGAAGAAAGTGAGGCTTTGTCTTTTAGAGAAGACAGGTTCTTCTTCAGGGAAGAGGTAAATCCCTCTTATCTATAAGAAGATAGAATATCTGAGATAAGAGAAAGCTGCAAAAATTAATTTCAGAAGATCTTTAAAGATCTTTCTCTTTGCTTTAGTTTATATCATCTCAGTGTTTAGATTTAACTTGAAAACTTTCTGCTCTAGCCCAGTTATTCTCCATCATTTTTTTTTCATATCCATGTGTACATTCTCCAGGAAGTGTTGTCTCTCTTTATGAAAAATTCTATTTTCCACATAAGCAATTACATTGTTTGCCTTCCTTTGCATCTTTGTCTGCTCTCAGCGTGCCTTATCCTGTGTTCTCATGACAGCATCATGTCGTTGCTGGAAATGGGCAAGTTTGCCATCTTTGAGAGAATAGCTATACGAGCAGATGAAAATTTACAGTGTCCATGTGTAATTTACTAAAAAAAAGTCACAAAAGAATTCCTGAAAATGCAATCTTCTGCTTTGGTATTCTTTATCGGACTTTTTTCCTCCATTTCATCCTTCTAGTTAACCTTTCCAATCTCTGGCTTCAAAGTCTATGTAACTTAGACTTTTTCTTCCTTTCCTTTGTTTCTCATCAAAATATAATCATCCTAGAAATTTTCCTCTCTTCTATTTGTCTATTCTATCCACCTATCTAGTTTATTTCCTGTTACTGGGATTTTGCCTATTTTTTATACCTTATTTCTGTATAATTTATTTGAGTTTTTCCATTTATTCCTTTCTCCTTGGTTAATGAGGTACCCTAAAGCATTAGCACTTAGGAATTAGTCTTTACTTGTCAGCAAGAGCTATCTAGTAGCAAAGGGATATGTGAGAGACAGCACAACTAAAACGATCTTGTAGAAAGGGATTATTTTCTAAGCATATGTCTACTATATTAGCTTACTTCCGAAAAACATCAGTTACCTCTCATAAATCCATCCTGTGTTTAAGAACATAAAATTTAGTGTGGATAACAAATGCAAAGCAAGCAAATTTTCAGGTAATCAGGTGAGCCGTTACTTACGGCACAGTTGCGTTGCCAAAAAGAAATAATAATAATAATTACTACTCAATAAATAGAGAGCATAGCTGAAATAAGGACCTAATGCAGAAATTCTTAACTTTTCCTGATGCCATTTCAACTTTGTTTTGAATGTCTAATTTAGGCTGCCCTAGTAGGTGCTTTATTAGTAGGAAGAATCACTGAAGGTCATCTGTGGGTGATTCAATAAGTAGCAAATTGGGTTTATTTTCAACTTCTCCATTAATGTGCGGGACCTGAAACCAAAGAAAAAGTGTGCTGTTGGGGGAAATGTTTTGTCACCTAGGAGATAAGTCGAACTGTGGGTAACAATAGCCCTCATTAATGGGAGTAAAGTGTCATCTGAGAGTCATCTCAAAGCTTACTCCCCAGTTGAGCCAATGGTCTGAGTGAGACCCTGGAGCCCATGGGTTATTGGGGTGTGTTAGTGCTCACTGAGGAGACAGAGCTGTTGCAATACTGAGTTCAAGCAGCACAACTGACTCACATAACGTGAAGTGAAACCAGACAGAGCTCCGAACTTGGTACCTTGGGTAGCAAAGGCGACTTCCGATGATGGTTCTACACAGGTGATAAAAGGAAAATTTACTTTGAGAAGTTGAGAAAATCAAGCTAGATGGCAGCGAAGTAAAGACTTCTCTTGCAAAATCTGAGTGCAGATCTGTGATGGGAAAAAGAACTTCCAGATAAAGCAAAAGTTGATGTTGACACCAGTACCCAGTAAATTGCTAGGAAAAAAGGCAACATCTCTTGGTCCAGTTTACCTTTAGATAAATGTTTGAAGAATAAAAATACATGCGTTTCAAGATATGTCTTATGTAAACTTTTTAAGTTATGAAAATCATCCATATTGAAAAATTGAATGTTTTTTATTTTGAAACTGTTTTTGCATTGTCAGTTACTCAAGCAGCCATTTTACATTTCGGTGTTTGAGAACATGACAGGGACCTGTATACTCCTTGTGGGGCCACATTTTAAGAATCTTAACAGCTCATCCTGCAAAATTAAAATCCAAAATCTAAATCACAAAATTCTCTTTTCTCTTTCCTCAGTTATTTATTTAGACTATAGAACAGATATCGTTCTAGAGTTTTTTGTAACTATCAATTATCATTAACATCATATTCCTATTCTAAATCCTTCCACTGAAACACTACTTGTTGGGAAAAAAAGGCTTTTACTTTGTTTCACCACTGTACAGAGGGTAAATGGAAAAACTTTCACATTCGGAATATAATACTGTTACATTTCCTCTATTATTTTAACATCTTTTGAAAAATTTCTATAAAGAGATGGAGAAATTTCATGTCAGGAGATAGGAAATATTAAATTTAAATGCCTCAAAAGAATATCGCATATTCCTATAGTACTTCTATAGTCTGCCTGAACTCACCCTCAACTTTCTCCCTTCCAGATGACGCCACCAGCCCCCGTTTTTCAACACATCGTGAAGGATCCTTCCAAGTTCCTGTCCTGTGTGCTGTAATGAATGTGGTCTTCATCACCATTTTAATCATAGCTCTCATTGCCTTATCAGGTGGGTCTGCTCTTCATCAATTCTTTCAAAGCCTCCCAGCTGTAAGCATTCATGCCCAGCTGAAATCAATATTAGTTTAGTCTAGTTAATCAGAAATTGCAGCTAATTTAGAACCATCCCATGTACCATATATGGCCAATTTCCTAATCAATACTAGACATAATTCCACAATCCTCAAATAAATAATGTAATACTTTTATAAGTATTAAAGTATCTATGATTTATATATTACTGTAGAATAAAATTGCATTTGAAAAGACGTTTACATCTAGAATGAAGGGAGCTGATTTGAATTCTGAATAAATAGCTATTTAGATGGAAAAAAAATGTGAACTTCACATTCATTGATTATGGAAAAAATCGTATCTAAAGTCATAGATTAATCAGGAAGTGGCCAGTCTTTTGTGTTTTATCCCAAAGGACACAGAATGGTAGTTCTGAATAATTAAGATTATATTTAAAAGTTCCCAGAGAGTCAGTAGTGATTCAGTATTCAGTACCTCCAGCTATACCGAGATATATTTGTGTCTTTTACAAATGGGAATATTTACCATTTTTTGAGATATTCTCAGCTATATGTCTTTCTGTATTTTGAATTGGTTTCCTAAAATTTACTCTCTTCATCTTTCCAACCTAGTGTTATAAATACTGCATCTTCAAATTCTTCCACCTCTGCATTCAGATTCAAAACCTTATTTGAAATGTATAATGTACTTTACCCTTTCTAGTCCAAAGAAATATCTAGTCCAAATTTTCAGAATTTTTCTATATTTCTGTCATTTTCTGACATTATGGCCAAAGGTACATCCCCTCATCCTCATACCTCCATCCAATGATGATTAGGCTCAATGGAAAATCAGATATGGTCCTGAGAACTTTCTTTCTTCATACCCTTTTCAGAATTCTCCTTTTTAGCTTTTATCCTTTACTTTATCACCACCTAGCACTGCATAGCATCTAAGACTAGTTTTGCATGCTATGGGTATTTAATTTCTTTTGTTACTAAAACAAAGCATTTTTCTGTTCACAGTGGGCCAATACAATTGTCCAGGCCAATACACATTCTCAATGCCATCAGATAGCCATGTTTCTTCATGCTCTGATGACTGGGTTAGCTACCAGAGGAAATGCTACTTTATTTCTACTGTGAAGAGGAGCTGGACTTCAGCCCAAAATGCTTGTTCTGAACATGGTGCTACTCTCGCTGTCATTGATTCTGTGAAGGACATGGTAAGAATGAAAAAAATGATAAAATATTGCTATTTTAATTAATATGGCTAATCAGTGGTTTCCTTCTGTTTCTGAGTGGAAGAAAAAAACAATATTGTACCTATTTCAGATGTAGGAAAATATCATGCCAGAGAACCCTATGATCAGCCTGAGGTCAAAATGAGATTTACTCACTTTAGTCTTTTAAATTTGACTTGATTGCTTAGCTTCAAAGACCAGAAATCCAAATATGCTCATCCTACATAGAATGAGTCAATGGTCAGATGAGCTGTCATGCCTCAAGTTGCAGCTTTTGAGAAACAGGATTTACTATCTACTTCCCCAGAAGGGTGTTTAATGTGACAACTCCCTTGTGCTTTCTTTAAGAACTTTCTAAAACGATACGCAGGTGGAGATGAACACTGGGTAGGACTGAAAAAGGAACCTGGTCACCCATGGAAGTGGTCAAATGGCAAAGAATTTAACAACTGGTAAGTCTCCAGAAGTCTCTTTACTCTCCCCAGGGTGGCATCTCAGGAAAATCATTTTCCTTTTCTCCTTTCAAAGCACTTTAGATACGAAGGCTGAGCTCTTCAAGAGCTCTAACAATCTCTTCTGAATGCGTATGCTCAAATTCTTTAATGACAGGCTTTATTATTATTCTTTTTTCTTTATCCACACTTATAATACATAAAATAAATGCTTATAGTAATTTTTCTCAGCAAACTCTAATGTGAGGAATAGATCTGGTTAATTTGGATATATTCTAATGATAATTATGATGATGCAACAAAACCCCACTTTCAATGTCACATTTAGTCTTTACTAATGAGATAGTTGTTGGAAAATAAATCCCTCTTACTATTTCTCAGTTTTCATCTCCACAGAATAAAGAATAGTTTCAATGCCTAATTATGAATTTCTATAGACCTGAAAGAAAATTTGCCCCAGAATTAGATACTCCATTTTCATTACTTTTAGTTAAAATACATTTAATGTTTGAAGATCATTTTATAAGTTTGTTGTTGATCATAATACTGATAAAGTATCGAGATTAAAATTCAGGTCTCTAGAAAAGAGATTCCTAATATTTGTCCTATGGTTCCATATCCACAGATGGGCTTCAGGAACCATAAATGCCCTAAAGCTGTATGCACTAGTATGCATGGCTGGTGGATGCATATAATTTTGTGAAATTATTTACTGAAAAATCTATGAACTCAAAAATGAACAAGAATCACTTCTCTGGTGCCATGCCAGCCAAATGAATGGCGCGCTTTCCTCTTACCTCCATATTTTTTCTCCACATACTTTTTTTTTCAATTCTTGTCCATTGTCTCTACAAATTAGTCTATGATTATTTGACTTATGTACCCTGCTAAGAATTTAAAAGAAGCAGAGGTCACCATCTTGAGTTCATTCTCGTGTAACTGAATGAAAACAATGAGCTGAAAATAATTCTAAGTTTCTTTATTGTTTGACAGGTTCAACTTTACAGGGTCTGAGAAGTGCGCTTTTCTGAAAAACACAGGAGTCAGCAGCATGGAATGTGAGAAGAATTTATACTGGATATGTAACAAACCTTACAAATAATAAGGAAACATATTCACTTATTGACTATTGTAGAATGGAACTCAAGGAAATCTGTGTCAATGGATGCTGCTCTGTGGTCTCAAGTTTTCCACGCAGACTTTGTGAAGAAAAAAATTTTGTAGTATCTTGGGAATTTTCTTCCAAACAGAACTATGGAAAAAAGGAAGAAATTCCAGGAAAATCTTCGTTGTGGGCTCTTGTTGCCATGAGCTGGAAGCGTAACAGGTTGACTGATAACCATGCCCAAGAATGAGAAGAATGACTATGAAACCTTTGGATGCACTTTATATTATTTTGAATCCAGAAATAATGAAATAACTAGGCATGGACTTACTATTTATTGCTGAATGACTACCAACAGTGAGAGCGCTTCATGCCTTTGCACTATTGGAAGGAGTTAGATGTTGGTACTAAATACTGAATGTAAACAACGGAATTATGACTGGTAACATAGGTATTTAGTCATTGAATCCCTTAAACTCAGGGAGCATTTATAAATGGACAAATGCTTATGAAACTAAGATTTGTAATATTTCTCTCTTTTTAGAGAAATTTGCCAATTTACTTTGTTATTTTTCCCCAAAAAGAATGGGATGATCATGTATTTATTTTTTTACTTCCTCAGCCATAGACTAGTCCTTTTTGATGGTACATATTTGTTTACCTTTATAATCTTTTATACATTGTTTTACAGAGAAAAGACATAAGCAAAGAGTATGAGGAATATTTGTAAAACAGAAAAGTGTTGGAAAATGTGCAATATGGGATATGGCAAATCTCTATCAGGAAATATTCTGTAATGTTCAAATCTAGAATAATACTAGTCTCATAATAGGTTTGTGACTTTCCTAATCAATTCTATTATGTGCAATACTTCAATACTTCATTTAAAATATTTTTATGTGCAATAAAACATATTTGTTTGTATTTTGTGTTCAGTACAATTATAAGCTGTTTTCATGTATGTGAAATAAAAGTAGAATAAACACAATGGTTTCCAAGAAAGTTCATTCCTTCAAAATATTTTAAAAAGTATATACTGTATGAGAAAGCAGAAAACAGAGTACTATAACTTAGAAAAAAAATCCCATCTAGGATAAAACCCTTAGTTTTACAACAGCTTATACATATCAAATTGTTTTCATGTACTTATATGCTAAAGGGTATATGTATCCATATTCATTTTTCTGTGTATAGAAGATGCTCAGTAATAATTACTCCTCAAAGTCAATGCTCTGAAAGTATCCTGTTCAATTCTGAAGTGCTATATACACATTAGTTATTTATGTAAAATAATTCAATACATAGAAATGAGGCATAATCTTCATGGGATATTTCAATCAGCAAAAAACTTGATGATGTAGCTTGGATGTGTGTCCCTGCCCAAATCTCATGTTGTGTGGTAATCCCCTTTGTGGGAGGTGATGACACCATGGGAGTGAATTTCTCGTGAATGGTTTAGCATCGTCGTCTTGGTGGTCTCCTTGCAATAGTGAGTGAGTTCTCAGGAGATCTGGTCTTTTAAAAGTGTATACTTTTAAAAGATGGAATACCATGGAATACTATGTAGCCATAAAAAAGGATGAGTTTGTGTCCTTTGTAGGGACATGGATGCAGCTGGAAACCAGCAAACTATCGCAAGAACAGAAAACCAAACACCACATGTTCTCACTCATAGGTGGGAACTGAACAATGAGATCACTTGGACTCGGGAAGGGGAACATCACACACCGGGGCCTATCGTGGGGAGGGGGGGTGGGGGAGGGATTGCACTGGGAGTTATACCTGATGTAAATGATGAGTTGATGGGTGCTGACGAGTTGATGGGTGCAGCTCACCAACATGGCACAAGTATACATATGTAACAAACCTGCACGTTGTGCACATGTTCCCTAGAACTTAAAGTATAATAATAATAATAATAATAAAATAAAATAAAAACTCAAAAAAAAGTGTGCAGCACTCTCTCTCTCTCTTTCTCTCCCTCTCTTTCCTGCTTTCTCCATGTAACATGTCTGCTCCCACTCCACTTCACCTTCCACCATAAGAGCTCCCCTAAGCTTCCACAGAAGCTGAGCAGTGTCAGTGTTATGCTTTTAAAAACTGCAGAGCCGTAAACCAATTAAGGCTTTTTTCTTTATAAATTACCCAGTATTAGATATTTTTATAGCAATGCAAGAATAGCCTAATACATTTGATTACCTTCAAAATTGTTTTATAAATGTAATTTGCAATATTCTTCTCTGCCTGTTGGAAATGTGTGATGTGTACGGTATCTCTAAACTATTGACAAATGGCAAATGGAAATGTGAATTTCAGACACTGCTTAGTGAAAAATAACGACCTCTGCGCTCCTGACTTCCCACAGCTGTGGGAAATAAATGAAATAAGCAGCCTCCTAGCTCTAATAGTCTATCGTTAACAACAATCTACTCCCGAGTCATCTTAGAAAACAATGTCTTGTGATTAATATTTTAGTTATAACATATTTTTATGTGCATAAATCTAATCAAATTATGAAAACTGAGCAAGCTTAAAAATATTATTTCTATATTAGTATGATACAGTTTTTAACTCATTGAATACTGACTGTATCACCTAAAAATTCAATGAATTTTATCATTTTTAAAAATAATTTTATTGAATCCCTATAATTATGTGAAATGACCAGCTGACGTGCTTCCCTTTCCAGAGGAAGAAGTTCAAATTATGTTGAAAAAGCAATGGATAAAACACGGATAACTGAGAGTTATTTTTTTTACACATAATTTGAAGTCATTTTATTCTTAAGGACCACTGCTTTCTTTAAATAGATAAAAAAAAATAGAATTCTTAAAGGGAATAATTTTATTATTTAAAGTATGACTCTACTTGCTAGTGAGCAATTACAAATATAAAAAATGAGTTTGTCTCAAGAACCCCTCTTGCCCCAGGCTCTGTCCCCGTTACAAAAGTTGCAGTGCCATCTAGTGGCTATAGGAGATTACTGCACTTCCGTTTTAAGTATAGAACAAAATATCTATGTAGCGCACGGCGCTGTTCAGAGCCAAGGCACTGGGGGCCAGACCGCCCTAGTTTCATCTCTGCCATGCGCGGACTGACTACCTATTTTATCAGAACTCGTTCACAATTCAGCTAAAATTAGCTAGATATTAAATTAGTTAGTAATGAAAACAAACTTAAAACATTATCTGGCTCCCTAGTACACCGTAGGCATGTATTAAATACTCACGATGATGATTATAACTAGAAACACAACGTCTTCAAACTTCCAGTATTGGCATAAAGCAACGTTTCTACATGACATGTCTATTTCTACGTAATATATCTTATTTGTGTTTGTGTTTGGAAAGCCTTTTAAATATTTCATTTGGCAAACACCTACTACTATGGTGGGCACCAGAGTTAAAATACTGAGCAAATTCCGCATGGCAACTGACCTTGTGGAATTCACAGTCTATTTGGAAAACAAGCAAGAAGATGAATTAATCTGGTGTGATGAAGGTTATAATAGGAAAAATGTAGGGTGCGATGGAAGCATATTAAAGATATACTCCTGTATTCAAACCTTTAGCTAATTATCAAAATTTTAACTCTGTAGGCTCTGTAGGCTACCTTCATGTTGGATAGTTACATAAATATGTGTAAAATAAAACCATCGGTTATCCGCGTTTTGCGTTGCTTTTTCAACATAATTTCAATTTCTTCCTTTGGAAAGGGGAATACGTCAGCTGCACGTTTCACATAATTATAGGGATTGGATAAAACTGTTTTTAAAAAGGCCAAAATGCCATTGAACTGTTAGGTGCTGTAGTCAGTATTCAACTACTTAAAAATTGTACGATACTATTATAGAAATGATATTTTTAAGCTCGCTGTCAATTTTCATAATTTGATTAGACTTTTGCACGTGAAAATGTATTATAACTGAAATTAAAATGTAAATGATTTTTCAGGGGAAAATACTGGAAAATATATGACCAGAAAGACTGCTAGTGATGGTGTAAACAGGCCTCCTTTACCCTTTGGAAAGCAGCTTGACAATACTTATTGGTGAGGAGGGGAAAGGGAGATTTTAAAGAAATAATCTTGGATGTGCAAGACATAACCACAAAAACATTTATCAAAGGGATATTTCTAGTAGTGAAAAATCAGAAGCTACTTAATTGTACAAAACCAAAGATTTAGTTAGGTAAATATAATTCTCCTACATGATGAAATGCTATCCCAACATTAAAAAATAATGAAGAACATTTATGTATATGAAAGAATACTCAAACTATTATTGCGCCAGTTTAAAATAATATATACAATAGGATTATTTCCTTTTCAGTATTAAATACACAGAACACGCTTTATATTTCTATATGCTGACAGAAAGTACAACTACTAAACACAGTGGTTTTCCCTGAGGAGTAGGAATATAGGAAGTATTTATTTTCTTTATGTTTTTCTATAATTTTGGATCTTTCTCTTTCTTTCTTCTTTTTTTTCCTTTTCTTCCCCTCCCCCCGTCCCCGAGTCTCACTCTGTCGCCCAGGCTGGAGTGCTGTGGCTTGATCTCTGCTCACTGCGGCCTCTGCCTCCAGGGTTCAAGCGATTCTCCTGCCTCAGCGTCCCGGGTAGCTGGGATTATAGACGTGCGCCACCACGCCCGGCTAATTTTTGTATTTTTAGTAGAGACGGGGTTTCACGATGTTGGCCAAGCTGGTCTCGAACTCCTGACCTCAGGTTATCCGCCGGCCTTAGCATCTCAAACTGGTGGGATTACTGGCGTGAGCCACAGCGCCCGGCCACTTTTGAATTTTCCTATAATGAAATTATTTTATTCTTAAGAAAAGGTGTTTTCTTTAAATAGATACAAATATATAATTCTTAAAGGGAATAGTTTTATTATTTAAAGCATGACTCTACTGTCTGGTGACCAATTACAAACACAAAAAATGAGTTTATTTCAAGAACCCCTCTTGCCTGGCTTGAAGATCCCTGTTACAAAAGCTGCAGTGCCGTCTAGTGACTGTATGAGATTACTGCACTTCTGTTTTAAGTATCTCATTGTCAAAGGACATTAAAAAATAATTTCTTGGTGGCTATAGTTAACAATAATATATTGCACATTTCAAAATTTCAAATGTTCTCACAACAAAAAATTATAAGTATTTGAGGTGATTGATATGGTAATCAGCTTGATTTAGTCAGTCCACACTGTGTACAAATAACATTACATTATACCCCACAAATATATACAATTATAATTTGTCAATTAACAATAAAATTTTTCAAAATTTTTACACTCAAGTGGCTTGTGTGTGTGTGGATGACGATTCTTGATTTCTGTAGTGGAAAGATACGGTAGTCACCACTCTCTCAACACTACTTTTTATATTTTTTCTAGTTATAAAGGAAATAACTTAATCTAGAAAAGTGAAACCTAACCCTTGATAATACTGCACCCATCCATATTTCTCAATATTTTTATTGCCAAGTGTAAAACGTAATTAAAATAATGCATGTAAAAGTGCTTCGTATATGCTAAAGAACTACGTTACCACAAGTTGACTTACTTCCAAATTTCTAGGTTCTGAGACCTGAAGCTCACCTTATTTTCTCCTTATTTTCCATATACTTTTCAATAACTTGAAACAAACAAACATGTACACATTGTAAACTTAAAATTACAGACTTCTAGTTTTCAAAAGATATCATGGACAGAATGACAAGTCGTCACAGAGTGGAAGACATTCGAACACGTGTAATTGATAAAGGAATCTGTCTCTCCCCACCCCCATCATCTATCTATCTACCTACCTACCTACCTATCTATCATGTATCTAGACAACAAATCAATAATACAATGACTGTTGATTTTAAGAAGCTAAGAGAGGCTCTCAGTCCTCAGCCAAGAAGAAAAGGAAACTTGAGCACTGTAGTCGAATAAACTGGTTTTGTCAACAACCTGAATAAGCTTTGTATTACACTCTTTTTGCATTG